TGGTCAGCGGCGGCCGGGGGAGCGGTCCTGTGCAGGCGGTCTTTTCCAGAGCCGGGTTCAGGTGTGCCTGGGCCAAGGCATCCTGCTCTTCTGAAGTTTGGCCCCGGGGTAGATAATCCCTGCGGTGTAATTTATGCGTTATCCGGGTAGGCGAGGTGACAGGAATCGGTATTAACATGTGAATTTGCAGCGGCGTGGCTTTGTTTTTTTCTTCCTCCGTGGCACTGCTTGCTCGCCTCACTGTGATTCTGAAGTTTGGCCCCGGGGTAGATAATCCCTGCGGTGTAATTTATGCGTTATCCGGGTAGGCGAGGTGACAGGAATCGGTATTAACATGTGAATTTGCAGCGGCGTGGCTTTGTTTTTTTCTTCCTCCGTGGCACTGCTTGCTCGCCTCACTGTGAGTCGCTGGATACTCAGAGTGCATGGCCCTTGTCTTAGGCTTTCAGTAAGATCTGGGTCACTTGCTGGATGTAGAAGTACCGTCAGACGCTCACCTAAGAAGGGGCTGGCCGTGGCTGTAATACTTCGGTTCCTTAAAGCTGTTGTTTTGAGGGCCTGACAGCCTATAGTACCTATCAACGTGGAAATGAAGATGCACTCAATATTGAACCTCAGATCAAAATGCTTTAGGTTGCACTTTAATTTTACATTCTGAGTGAACTTAATTGATTGCATTGCCCTGTTGCTGTCCAGATACTTAGTACATGCATAGCCTGACTTGCAAAAGTCAGAATGTGCCTCATGTTAAATCTGGCAGCCAAGGAATTCATAGTAGTCCAGTGGAAAAACTTTTTACTTTTTAAATCAAGCTTCCCAGTGTGTATTCAGTGATTACTGGCTAATTTTTGTTCGAATGGGAGAAGGGAGAAAAGGCTTGTATGATTTGCCTCATTCAGTTCATACCTAGAGCTTCCTCAATAAATCACATAGCTGTAATTATTTCTTTTCCATGTAACCTTAACTTTGTTCCTCAAGTCATGTTTTCTGTGTAATTAATGAGGTAGAAGTCTTTCCAAGAGCAGAGAGAAGCAAAGGTAGCATGTGTTTATGTGGGCTAGGATTGTATCTAATAATAATAACAACACTAACGTATTATTTTGCAGTGTTACTGTGCCTTTTGAATGTGGATTTCTACTTGGTTATTTAGGAAGGCAGAGTACGAGTTTAACAGTTTTTTGTAGTATTGAGTATCAGCACTTGCTGATCTGTTGTTAGTCCTAACAGACTGTTAACTGCTTCACTAGGGAAGTGACTGGTCTTAGAATGTACCTGCCTTCTGTCTGGGCTGCCCTGTACCTCTGTATGATACAGGAGCTTTGCCACTGGATTTCAAGGATTTGTCATTTCTGATGAAAACTGTAAGGTGTTTAAAGCTCCATGGTTTTTCACAGTGTGCAGACTAAAGGAATAGCCTCACCAAAGAGTGCGTCTCAGTCTTGCTTTATAAGTGAGCAGTCCTTTATTGATGTACAACCAGCACAGTTCTTTAACCTAGCCTTTCTTGAAGTCTTTATTTTTGTAGTTTTAAGTGAGGAAAAAGCACACAAGCTGACATACAGAACTGTGATAGATTTTCTTCTTTGCCTAACCTCTTCGCCAATTAAAAGAAAAGTTGTGCTTGAGATAGGGGCTGTTCAAGAATAGCTGTACCCACTTATGAGGAATACTGCTCTCCCAGAAAGGGAGACTTTTGAAGTGGGGGGACTGCTCTACTCTCAATTACAGCTGTGTGTTTTCTCTTTCTTGCAGTCCTAGTCTGTCACTGAGGGTTTGGTGTGAAATGTTACAGCTGAACTCACTTCCTGTTCAGCTGTGAGAGCATACTGTGTTGCAGGTTTTTCTGTCTGCCCTGTGAATCTAACAGAGGTTGGTTCTGGGGCTGCAAAGCCTGTCAAAGGAGGTTAGGAATCTGTGAAGACTGGAAGTTGGTGAAGAATTTGGTGAGCTCCGAGGACTGGGAGACAAGAATGCTTTGTCTGAAAGTCTGTTGTCTATTGCTGATACTCTCTCAGCCCCATTATCCTCACTACCACATCACCCTGCACTTCGCAAGGGGTTAGATTAGCTTTTTTTGCTCATTAATACAGCTCAAAGTAAATGCACTTTAGAACACTTAGGCCTGAGACTATGGGAATGGAAAAAAAATAGAAAGCAAGAGGACAGAAGAACCACAAAGAGAAAGAACAGCAAAAAGAAACACATTTGCCTGCCAAAGAATTATATTGTTCACATCTTACTGAATTTGCTTTATAAAACCTGGAGGATAACAGGAGTGTAAAAGCACTAAGGCTATTTGAGAGCTGATTTTTGTGCTGCCTGTAGAAATGATGGTTATTTCACCCTGATCTGAGGGTGGCAGTGGGGGTCATTCTTTAAGCTAGCCATTTTATTTGAGTACTATAATAAAAAGGTCCTTTCTGGGAGACACACATTATTTCATTAATGATAAATTTTGTTCATCCTGACATCCTCTAAGCACCTGTCACAGAAGTCAAAGCTCTTGATTTGGGTTATCTCTGCAGAATAGGCACTAGCATTACTGTCACAAAGTGTTTGTAGCTTTGTTTCCCTGCCACTGAAAATCACAATACAATGTAATTTTCCTTGCTTCCAGTGTTTCTAAACCTTTTATTGCAGCAATGGTGGTGTTCCTTTGGTGCCTTGGTGGGCTGATTTGGCTCATTAAATCAGCAGATGATTGTGTTTTTCTGTATTCTGATTGTTGTATTTAGCTAGGATTCCTTTTCTTTACACTGATGAACTGTATTGGCTCATTGCAAGCCCAGGTAGGTACTAAAGCTGATTCCAGGGGAGGATTGAGTGGAGAGTGAACTGGACCATTACACAACAATGATCTGTTAGATTGCCTTAGTTGCATGTGAAAATTCCTACTCCTATGTTTATCTCCAAGACTCTTGTCAGTCAGAAACTTGCAGAGTGGGAAAGCAGGGTAGTAAAAACATTTGCTGAAAGATTAATTTCTAGCTCTTAAAGTGTCATCTTTGATAAATTGCGCCTAAAGGAACAATTATGGTGAGGAGGTGAAAGCCTAGGGCAAGATGTAGTCTCTTACACGTTTAACGGAAAAATCAACACCTCTACTGTGTTAAATGTGCAGTTCATTACTGTGTTTTCTTTTTTCAATATGTGACCATTACTTTGTTTTAAGTCATGGAAATGTTGTTGTAAATAAACTTTTTTAGTGATGTTTCTCACTGTATCAATGATTTCAGATGCCTTTTTTCCAGTTTCTCTGTGCGTGAGAGGTATGATACTGACTTCCAAGATGGGAAACTAAGACATACAGAAGGAGAAACAAGGGTACTCTGTGATTCTTAGGCTCAGTGCTTACATAAGTGGGACCTGATATTCTGAAGAACTTCAGGATTATTTAAGTTCATATTTTGTAGCTTCGTTGTAAGTTCACACTCAAATCTGAATGCAGCTTCTAAACGAGGAGGACATATGATACTTGTTTAGTTTAAGTGACTTGCCTTACATCAGATTGAAGCCTTTTTGATGGAAAGGTGGAGTACAGTTTCCCAGGGCAGCCTTCTGTTACCAGCTGTAAGACCATCTTCATCCTGTCTACTGTCCATGGGTCTTTCACAGTGCACTGCAACTTCTGAAAAGCTAAGTATCCTGTAGACCAGCAAATGTTAAATGAGCTGCAGTCAAAAGCCTCTTGAGAAAACTAGTCATAAGCTGAATTTCCCAAGGTGCAGCTCCAGGTTGTACCTTTAGGGTTTTTTAAACGTATCTCAAAACACAAGTGTTCACATATGACTGATTAGCAGGCAGGATTCATTATTTTGATAGAAAACATGTCTGAATGAATGTTCTAATTATGTGGAAATACAGTTATGGAAGTAAGATGTCTGTACAAGGTCAAATGGGGAGTGTGTCTCCTGCATTCTGACCTCTGACAGGGGCTGGTGGGATCAGGATCTTCTCCGTTTTTCTGTCTGACACACTACTACTGCACCTAGGTTTACAGGATAGAAGCTTTTTTAGCCAGGGAGGTATCTGAATGTAGGTGTAGACTGAACTCTTCAAATATTAGTGTCTTTGTTAATTCCTAACCTTCAGGGGACAAATGTACTTCTCTCTTCTGCCAAGTTTCTTGTGTAGGACAGGTCCTGCACTACCAACCTGCTAAAAAAAAGGCTGGTGTCACAGCCAGATTCCATATACCTGTGTACTTGGAACTGCCTCTTACTGTTCATTTCCACCACTGCTGTCTCTGAACATGGAAGACCAAGAAGCTTTTTCTACACATTTATGCCATTTTTCACAATCTTATGGATGCAACTAGTGCTTCTGTTCTGTGATGTAGCTCTAAAGTGGTCTCAGTACAAAGGATTGCTACAGCAATGCAAAGGACTGAGTAGCTCTGGTATAGAAGTAAACTTTATACAGAAGTGTAAGGGAGAGGGTATGAATCTCAGGGGATTGCATCCTCACCTGTATTTTGTTGCCGTTTCTTTGTGGACAGCTGGTCCTTCAGCTGCACTGCCTTCTCTAATTTGCAGAGGAATTATTCCCTGTTTGCTGCAGCTATGAATGCAGAGTTGCATGAGTTGATAGGGTTTCAATGATCATGTAACTATTGCCAGTTTAGGAAGTTGAACTGGTTCATCTGTGAAACTAGCTTATCTAAGAAAAAAAATGCTTTTTTTTTGTCCAATTCTGCAAACTGAAGCTGTCCACCAAGGGTCTGTAATCCTGTACTAGAGAGTCACACCATGGTTATGGTTCCAGTCTGAACCACTGCTATAAAATCTTGCATTGCAGTGGGCTAGTAGTGTAGGCTTTTCTCCTGTTGTGCGTTCCCTGCCTCTACCCTCGATCTACAGATTTGTGCAGCTAACCAGGTAGGTTGGATGTTGAGCTGTTTTGGGAAGTGAGAGGAAGCAGGAAAACTGAGCTGCATGTTGACTAGAACTGCATCAGGGAAGAAAAGAGGAATGTGAAAAACACTTTCTACAGTAGCCTGGAGATGCATCAGATGAAGCACAGCGTGAGACATTTACCCCTTTTATCAAGGGTAAATCATGTTTGACTAACCTCATAGCCTTCTATGAGGAAATTACTAGGTGGATAGATGATGGTAGAGCGGTAGATATGGTTTATCTTGATTTCAGTAAAGCATTTGACACCGTCTCCCACAGCATCCTTGTAGATAAGTTGATCAAGTATGGGTTTGGTGATCAGGTAGTGAGGTGGATCAGGAACTGGATGAAAGGAAGGAGTCAGAGTTGTAGTCAATGGGGCAGAATCTGGTTGGAGGTGTGTGACTAGTGGAGTCCCTCAGGGGTCGGTACTGGGACCGGTGTTGTTCAACATCTTCATCAGCGACCTGGATGAGGGTATAGAATGTACCCTCAGCAAGTTTGCTGATGACACTAAGCTGGGAGGAGTGGCTGACACACCAGAAGGCTGTGCTGCCATTCAGAGAGACTTAGATAGGCTGGAGAGCTGGGCGGGGAGAAACATGATGAAATTCAACAAGGGGAAGTGCAGAGTTTTACATTTGGGGAAGAACAACACCATGTCCCAGTACAGGTTGGGGGCTGAACTGCTGGAGAGTAGTGTAGGTGAAAGAGACCTGGGGGTCCTGGTAGACAGGAGGATGACCATGAGCCAGCAATGTGCCCTTGTGGCCAAGAAGGCCAATGGCATCCTGGGGTGCATTAGAAAGGGTGTGGTTAGTAGGTCAAGAGAGGTTCTCCTCCCCCTCTATTCTGCATTGGTGAGGCCACATCTGGAGTATTGTGTCCAGTTCTGGGCCCCTCAGTTCAAAAAGGACAGGGAACTGCTCGAAAGAGTCCAGCGCAGAGCTACGAAGATGATTAGGGGAGTGGAACATCTCCCTTATGAGGAAAGGCTGAGGGAGCTGGGTCTCTTTAGCTTGGAGAAAAGGAGACTGAGGGGTGACCTCATCAATGTTTACAAATATGTAAGGGGTGAGTGTCAGGGAGATGGAGTTAGGCTTTTCTCAGTGATGACCAGTGATAGGACAAGGGGTAATGGGTGTAAATTGGAGCATAGGAGGTTCAAGGTGAATATCCGAAAAAATTTTTTTACTGTAAGAGTGACAGAGCACTGGAACAGACTGCCCAGGGAGGTTGTGGAGTCTCCCTCACTGGAGACATTCAAAACCCACCTGGATGAGTTCCTGTGTGATGTACTCTAGGTGACCCTGCTCTGGCAGGGGGGTTGGACTAGATGATCTCTCGAGGTCCCTTCCAGCCCCTAAGATTCTATGATTCTATGATTCTATGATTCTATAAGTTATACATTTGGTCTAATGTTGGAAACAAAGACCAAGGCATGTTGCTATCAGTGGACTGATAGATTTGGAAGAGAAACAGAGAAGGTAATCTGGGGGAACACTGGAGGTGAAAACTTTTTGTAGATGGCAACATTTATCTGTCACCATTAACTGACTTCTGTTCAGGTTCCTGTGTGATGTGCTCTAGGTGACCCTGCTCTGGCAGGGGGGTTGGACTAGATGATCTTTCAAGGTCCCTTCCAACCCCTAGGATTCTATGATTCTATGATTATGCCTCATTACTCATCATTTCCCAGCCATTGTGATGCAGAAATGTACTTTTCTACATCATCTGATGCACCTGTGGATATGTTCCATATTTTATTTTCAATTTGCTTTCTTTACATGGCCTTTTGTTATGTTGTCTTTGTCTTCTGCTAGCCTCCATTGTACAGTTTGAGGGGCGTTGGTACTATCCCAGTCAGCTTGAATCAGTTTTCAGTTCCCTCTCTGTCCCTTAGCTAGTAATCTGATTCTCTACCTTCCTTCATTTTAAGAGGGTTTTCTTTCTTCCTGTCCTTTGGGTGAGAACGAGAGGACTCTTGGCTCCTGGAACTGTTTCTTGGAACAAGTGGATCATTGCACAGATAGTTGCTAAGGAAGTTGGGAACAACTCCAAACAGCTCAGGAAAGGCTCTACTTTTGGGAGAATTCTTCTGAAGACTGTTCCAACATGACATGTTTTTCACCAGCATTTAAGGCAGAGGGCTCACTGGCTGGGAATGGGCTCTCTCAGAACTAGTGCTGGGAAGAGGTGCAGAAGAAACTAGATGCACTGTGGTTTCCCAGTGTAGGGTAACTTCTTCAAAACTTCTGCTTTGCAGGTGGGGTGTGCCTGTTAGCACAGACCTGGAAGATCAACTCATATGCATGTCTGGATATTTGTCCAGAGGTGTCTCTGCACAGTGTTCCCCGCTGTAGCTCCTCACAGCTTCTGGTTCCAAGAACTGGCGCCTGCCCAGTCTCGAAAGAGCCTTCCAAGCTGGGCCCTGTATTGCCATATGAGTGCACCCTACTGAAGAAGTGCACATCACTGGCTGCAAGCTACTGTGATGGACTGACTGCTCTTGTAGTGCAGTAAAATTTACAACACACCCATGCTAAATATTTACTTAATGTGAGGCTGCAGAAAGGGAAAAGAACATGCGGATGTGTTCACTGACTAACATAGGGTCTGAAGAAGTGTGGAAAGCTAAAACTGCAGTAAAGAGCATGCTGTGTTTCAGCTATAATTAAGATTGGTGAATATAAAATTATTATTCGGAATTGAAGCATATTCTGCTGGGTTTAATGTTAGATACTTTTAAGTTAAGACTGCAAATCAGTTTCTAGGAATTGCTAACTTTTTCAGTCCAAGATTGCATTAGAATAACAGGTTTGCTTTGGATTTTGCAGATTGCCTTCATGACCTTGACTCTGTTTCCTATCCGACTCTTCTTTGCTGCTTTTTTGATGTTGCTGGCCTGGCCTTTTGCATTCATTGCTTCAATGGGATCTGATGAGCAAGAGCTTGAAAAACCTCTCTCCTGGTGGCGAAAGTGAGTCACTGATGTGGTAAAATACTGTGAGACTCAGTATTTAGTTCAGCCATTTGAAACAGCGGAGATTGGCAATACCTGCTATCCATCTGATAGGCCTGCTTTTCTCTTAAAAAGAAAGACAGAAAAATAGTTATTTAAACAATTTCCTTAGTTAGGAAACTAAAAATACCTCAACTGTTTGATTTAGCAGGTGACTCAAGTATTACAGGGAGGAAAACGGCCATCTCTTCATTGAGAATGTAGCGTGAAGCTTCATTGTGACATCCTTCAATTTAAATTATTCCCATATTGTCAGCTTCTTGTTATGAAGATTGACACTCTGGATTGTGCCCAGATTTCATATACCCCAGTGTTGAACTGACAAAGCTTCTGTTGATTCTCTTGAGGGCTTGCCCCATTCTTTGGTGCTTATAATTCTGTGCTGGCTTTGATATTGGAATGCTAATTAAGGTAGAATGTAAGACAGTGTTTACCCATCCATGAAAACTGCTGTTTGAGGGGCAAGGAAGGAGGAGTGCATCACCTTTTCAGTACAGAGCTTTAAAATTAGGAGCTGGCACTAGCATGAGGGAAGCTGGTTGTATTTTGCATCACAGGAGGGAAAGAAGTTGAGAACCACAGAGGCGAGTCACTTTACATTTCATTTGGAATTATATTGGTATAATAACTAAAGGAAAAACAGACTGCCTTCAATCTTGAAGCTGTTTT